CCTGTCATGCGGAAACACCTGATAAAAGCGTAATCTTTCCATGGTTTTCAGAAGGTTCCCAGTCGGGCTCTACTATTCGCTCATGGGTGAGGACCTGACGAACCCTCAAAAGTGAGTAGTCCTACTTCCTTCCCATGTTTCATGTAGAGTCCGAACACACAGTAATTTCCCATCGTTTCAGGAGGCCCGATTACGATGACATCGAAGTCTACTAGCTAAAAACTGTTCTTGGGTAAGATGATATGCCAGTGCTTTGAATACGGTCAGCTTGAGCCGAAAGAATGTGGTCGAACAGTGAAGGGGGAGTGCCATGACGTGGGACTAGAGTTCGATCGCATTATTTTGCCCAACAAGTTGCCTATTTGAGGACCATGGCAAATAAACTTCTCATAAAGAAAAGAGTTCAGCACCCGTTTTATAGGGAGACGTGTTTGGAACGCTAGTCGATGATCGATGTGTTCCTTGCAGCTGTGGTGACCGACGCTGCCTTGTGAATAGATACGTGTGTCAGTCCTTTTGAAAAATAAAATGTTTTGTTGAGGATTTTTGTGTAACTCAGAGTATTCCAACCTACTGGCACGCCCTTGAAGTCCAAGCGAAACTGCATCAGTTGTCGTATCTTTGGCGTTGAACCTTCAGAAGCATTTGTCTTGCCTTCAGCGTCTTGGCTTCCAATAGGGCCTTTCTCCAGAGCCTGAGAGGACCGCAACAGCCTGATGTTACTCGACCAAATAGTCTTACCTTCCTGCTAAAGTTCGAGGTTGACACAGGTCAATGCGCAATTGTGAGGCTGCGTTTAGGCAGCGTTTATACTTTGCGGCAGTGCACGCCAGCGTACGCTAGCGTTTCCAGCGTTCGGCAGTGGCAGGGGAAGGATAGATCTAGTGTCACCGGCGTGCGCTAGCCTAACGCTAGAGTATTCTAGCGTACGCTAGCGTAGGGGCAAGGAAAGCATAGTTATCGACCTAATATCTAGTACGGTATTGCCTACTAATGCGGTGCCATTACACACGCCGCAATTTCACAGCACGCATAATCGAACTGTTTTCTACTCTCCTACTCTCCCATAGTCTCTACTCCCCGCGCTGCAAACGCTAGTGAAACGCTGGTGAAACGCTGAAAACGCTAGATCGATACCTATGCTTCCCTTGAATAGAATACTCTAGCGTTACGCTAGCGTACGCTGGTGACGCTAGATCGATAACTATCCTTCCCGCTGCCGCTGCCGAACCCTGAAAACGCTAGCGTACGCTGCCTGCAAAACGCAAACGCGGCCCAAGGGTCAGTCGCCGTAACCAGCACGATCCTCGAGACTCGGAAGCGGTATTACGGAGGATTCAGAATCACTTCGTTAATGATTTCTGGAGGTTTTTTTGTTTATTTATTTATTTAAGATGACATTGATAGTTGATGACAGATATTAAAAGTGGAGATGCAATTTCCCGGAGATAGCTGTGAGCCATATCTCAGCACGTCCTCGGGCTCCTCTGGGTATCGAGTGGAGCGGAATGGATGAGGAGTACATCTGTTGGCAAGACTTCTCAGCCGTGGTTCTGCTCTGAAGCACGGTCCTTTGGTGAGGGTTGTTGCGCCTTCTCTCCAAATTGAATGCCTGATCGGGATAGGCACAAACTATCTTCGACTGCGCGTGCAGCCGTCTTTTTGGGCTGCTTTCGAGCACCACAAGGCGAAGTCCAGGCTTTTACGGACGTATCAACCTTCTCGTAAACTATAGGGTTTGGGGTGATGAGAGTGATCTTCCCGGAATATTTGAGAGAAGATGAGATATTGCTTCGACCATTTCAGGCTTTTGGGAAAGAGTGATTCCGTCGAGACGCAGGGCCAGAGGCAGAGCACCTTCACTTCACACACGCCGAGATTTGGCAGACGTTTTGGCTTAGGATTCCTTGTTCAATGAGAGAGTGTGCTTGGTTTTTCGAGTTTCACATTTCATTATGTCGAAGTGCTCGAGGGTTGTCAAATCGAGGAAAACGGGCATTTCCAACATTATCTTTTTGCACTTCATTGGAAAGCTGCAACCGCAGAGGCTTATTTGTCGAGTGCACGGCCAAGAGCGGATGTTCGCAGGAACGGATAAACACAGGGATTCAAGATTTTTGATTGAGACTCTAATTATCTATATGATCGCCCCCTTTATGGCCCAGCTGAGTTTGAACTGCCCCCCCCCCTGGGGGCCAACAGATGTAGCTTATCACGGAGATTCCATGCCAAAGTGATACTCATTATACGATGAAAACGATGGCAGACAATGGTGGCTGACAACAGTTCTGTCTCGCGAAACAGGCAATGTAGTTTGCCGGCATACTGTTCTAATAACAAGGACGCCCCAATTCAAAATTTAACAATAAAATTCAACAATGAGGATGTTCGAATTCCAAATTTGTTGAAAACGAGTTCCCAGGTGCAGCTTGTCCTCTGAAATAAATATCACAGTCGCTCGGCACGAACTCTACTCTCCACAGCATTAATTCCGCGCCGTTGCAGAGTCCGCTGTTCTTGTTAATAGTCGCTATCTTCTGCTATCCAGGGCTCCGTGACCTCCACTTCGGTCTTTCTTCGTTTCTCAGGTCTCTCTTTATCACATCCCTCCACCTTTTCTTCGGGTCTCCTCCTGATCGCTTGCCTTCTGCTCCTCCTGATCGCTTGCCTTCAAAGTCCAATGCATTCCTCAGCGGGTGTTCCTCGGGCCTTCCAGCACATGCCAGACCACCTTGGTCGCTCTTTCCGTGCCTTCAGCTGGATAGGAGCCGTCTGTGTGACCGCTCTGACGTCCTCGTTTCTGACTCTGTCGAGTCGTGTCCAGCCGCAGGCCCTGCCTCAGCATCCCCATTCAGAGAGTCCTAAACCATCGCCAATCGCAGAGAATACCGTTAGACTCGGACCAGTCGCTTGGCATGAACGTTGGCAGCGAAACCTAGCGATTTATGGTATATATTTATGGTATCACACTAATCAGTGATTTATGGGTATGGTATAGATGTTTTCAGCGAGTTTGATGATTTAGGGCATTTTGGCGCCACGCCACAGGCGCCGGCGTCAAAATGCCCTAAATCATCAAACTCGCTAAAACATGTCTCCTGGGCTAGTCCAACCTCCTAAACATTATATCATGTCCGCTGAATACGTTAATGACGACGTTCGTCAACGGTGGAACATCGTTTGTCTTGTGAGGAGGCGTCAGCCAATGCTGTTCGGCGCTTACTACTTTACTCAGAGTCTGCGCGACTGTTCCAAGACAACACACAGCTGTGAGCGACGATCAATTCCCTACGGCGTACACTCTAGGTTGAGCGGTTGATAGAGACGTGGGCTCTATGAAGTTTTTATCAGTGTTGCAGATACAGTGCCTTTCGCAGCTTCCATTTCGCTTCATTTCGATTCAGTGAATGAAACAGTTGAATTGATACAGTACGTCAATGAATGGTGAGAAAGGAACTGATGCTGCGCCAAAACCCACGCGGCTCTGTCACGTGCCGACCGAGTTCAGCGGCTGAAGCAGCTTATTCCTCCTAGAGCCACAACTCCCCATGGAAGAAGTCGCTTTCCTCAATTGACGCTTCATTCATTTTTTGGTTTACGAAAAACAACAGCAACCCGTTTTGTAAGCAATTTCAGAATTACAAACACCAAGTAAAAGACGAGCACAAATTGAGCTAACAAATATGTAATAATATCTAAGCAATAATATTGAATGAATGAGAGATCTCTGGCACGCATCATCAGATGGTCCATTTGGCCCTCCTCGGCTACAAGTCCCACCCAGTGTAATAGATCATCTCGTGCAGCGGCTGTCCGTCCTTTGAGATGTCGTGCTACTCTAGCCGCTTTCTGCGCGTAAGTGCTGGAATATGACTGTCACAGTTCAATAGACGTGGAAATGTGAACACTTTCAATAGCACAGTTCTGGGATTCACAAATTGGTTTGATTAAAGGCAGTTGGCACGATAAATCCCCAAGGCGAGTAGGATTAATACGCCTGGCAGGACGGAATTCCGCGACCCTGAGCAGGCGCTGCATAATGCCTTTTCCAAGGGGTGCCCTTATAAGGGCCCTATCAAGCCACAACATACCGACCCAAACGCCCGCCACGCCCGCCCGCCCACAAATGGACGACCGTTCCTGACGCTCTAATCGATTCATTTGCTAAGCAAATTATGAAGCGAAGGGATTGGTAAGCGGCCGTGATGCTGCATGGATATATGAGTACACATATGCAGCCGTACCTTC